GATAATATTTTGTTTCAACTATCTCAACAGGTTTTTGTTAGTCCTTAGTTATACACGCTACTCTGTGGGGTATGTCGTGTTGATAATTCATTCACTCTTTGTATAACCTTATATTATAAGAGTTACTTTTTTTTATTCTTGTTCTCATGGTTTTTCTTTGTTATCATTGTGCAAACCCAACAATTGGCATCACCTATAGAGTCAGTCAGTGGAAAGAATTTGAAGAACAAATTTCAAAGAAATTACCACTAAATTTGACATTGAGAAGTTTTCTGGTGAACTTTGCATTATGGAGGATCAAGATGACAACTATCTTGATACAATAAATATGTGTTGATGCAATAAAGGAGGCAAACATATCAACGTCTGTCTAAGAAGGAGAAGATTGACATGATCAACAAAGCTAGAATCACCATAATTATGTCTTGGAGATAAGGCATTCAAGGAAGTCACTAAGAGAACTGTTGTGTCAATGTGGATAAAACTTGAGTTCTGGTAAATGACAAAATCTTTGATACATAGACTCTGTTTAAAACAACAGTTGTATCAATCCAAGATGATAGAATCAAGAAAGATGGTGGCCCAGCTAGCAGTTTGATCTAATGGGTTTGACAACTAAGATTAAACACGGTACTATAAAGATTGTAAAGAGAGCATCTACAACTACTAAGGGGATGAAAAAGAATGGTTTTTACACACTAGATGGTTTACCAGTGATAGCATATGCATCTGTGCCTAGTCAAATGATGCAAGACAAAGTTGTGGCTTTGAGGTTGGGGCACATAAGTGAAAAAGGTTTGGTGGAGCTGGGAAAACAAAACCTATTGGGAGGCAATATAATGGATAAGCTGGAGTTTTGTGTACTTCGAAAGTCTCATATATTGAAGTTTGGGGTTGGTAACCATGTGTCCAATAGACCGTTTTAACCTATTGGAGTCTAACATGAGCTCAAACTCATGTTGAAAAGTCTTATTTCCTTACTATCATAGAGGATTACTTGCAAAGGGTGTGTATTTATATATTGAAAAGTAAAACTGAGCTTGTTGGGATGTTTCAAAAGGGGCACACCATGAACGGTAATCAATAGATAACCAAACTCCAAGTGGTTAGAATTGACAACAAATTGGAGTTTGCATCAGAGCAGTTTAATGAGCTTTGTAAGATAGAAGGTATAAGAACTGCAGATACATTTCAACAAATTGGTCGTGCTGAGGTGTGTTATTGGGAGCTAGTTTTCCTAAGTTCTTCTAGAGAGAAACTGCAATCACTATTGTCTATTTGATAAATAGGAGTCCATTGTTTGCTTTGATGTTTAAGATTCCCATGGAGGTGTGGCGTGAAAAACCATTGTTTGCTTTGATGTTTAAGATTCCCATAGTATAATAATACTTGATATTGAAAGGATATTTTCTGCTGTAATATCTAACAAGTAATTAGTAAGATTAGTTCAGAGGTAGCTTATATTAGAACAGAGTTTTCTTTCCTTCATAGGTCACCGACACTGCTAGGATCACATTCCTATAACAGTAGAATCCTCAACTAAGCTATAGTTAATTCTAATTATCCTACAAACAAGTAATATATGTATTTTTGGGAAAAAGAAACACAAGCAAGATGGTAAATATTCATGCAAGAGTTTCAACATACACAAACATAAATGCACCAGATCAAGGCTAATAATACTTATTAACAGATGAAATGCTTAAAAATCCAGTATAGATAGTTATTCAAAGTTGTATGTATACATACCTTTTTTAAGATTATAGATTTAATGTTGTACAAAGATGTAACAGTGAATGATCATACATCTAAATCTTTTAAGGACTAACCAAGTCTGTAATTATATTGTATAATAATCAATTTTAGCAATTTAGAAAAGATACAGCAAAACAGAATGCTGCAATTTTCATTATTGGTGATATGTGCTTAAAACTATATGTTCAGTTAGGCTTTTACGTTTGTATAGAAGAAATTAATACCCACAGATTTACCACGTGGATAACTTTAAAATGAAGTCACAACAAAAAGAAAATATATAGTACTCTAGTTAATCTTATATTTATTAATAAGAATGAGAGTTGCGAACAACCAAATCATGACAAAGGAAAAACCAAAATAATTTTTATCCCAGAACATAAATTGCAGCTTCAGTTTTCAGAGAAAACCACTTTGGATTGTAACTTCTAAAAGACTGAAGGCCAAAGTAACAACAAAGAGAGACAAAACTCAGATCAAGGTAAAAGCAACTGCAAGAATGTGAAACATGCCTGAAATCCATGAACAAAAACAACTATCCTTAAAACAAGCTCATTCTGCTGTGAACTGCCACCAAACAACTTCTTTGCGGCTCTGGATCCATTTTCTAGAATATGCCTGTTTTTGTCATCCAAAGAATTGAAGTCTGAGTTCACACTGGCAGAATGGTACCCGTTTGTCAAGCGTTCTATAATAATGATAGGAACCAGCAGAAGATCTCCAAATATAAACATGTCTTGAAGTGACCTATTGTTTATCTGCATGTGAATCACATATCATCAATTCCAGACAGCTTAAACTAAAACACTGCAAAGAACCCCCAAAAAAAAAACATATTGTCTTACCCTCATTTGTGATATTCCCCGCCTGTGAAGTTCTGCACGCATTGTTGCACTTTGAATAGGCTGAATTGAAGAAAAAGGAACGTAACATATTTGAAGAAAATGACCCAGTAAAGAAAATCCATAGCACAACAGAACTAATAAATATTAAATAGCAGATTATTACATCATCAGTAAATCTTCTTGTTAGTATTGAACTTCTATGTACACCGTGGGACATGGACGTCCCCTCAACTCCATTGATCATATTTTGATGAGGCATTGCAACCTTTGAGTACACCATCCATATAGACCATTCAGTTCTCCGATCAATCACCCAGGACTTCCGCAGAAATTCCAATATTTTTGTTCTGTTTTCCCTGGTTAAAATGATAAAGTAAAAAAACATGTTATTGAATTAATGCACTGCTGAAATGTTATTCTCAAATAATAAATTTCTTACAACATAACAGTCTAGCTATGCCATATAAAAACTGTACAACAAATTTATGACAGAAATCAGCCTCGTTCTAGACAAGCTAATCTCACTAGCCAGTCAAAGAACTAGAGCTTGGCAAAAGTTGGAAAAAGAATATTCAAACTGAAAGAAGACTGGATAAAATAGTTCTTCATTACGCTATAATGATCAGAAAGGATATACAACTATAGAAGCATTATACTAAAAAGAGCTACAAGGACATCAAAGATGCCAAACTTAAATAATTATTTGGACATGAAATCACTGCAATTATATTTAACAAACCTGTGGAATTTCAGAAATATATTCCAGAGACATAAGAGATGATTCCCTAGAGACTGGAAAGAGCTTAAGAGATGATCATCCCAAGAGAAAGGTTGGATAGACTTCTCAGTAAGGTTATTGATATAATAAGCAGACTTCTGGTTTAGGGAAACATGGAAGTTGTAAATCGGTAAACAGTCTAAAACACAAAGAAGCAAAAACAAATAATAAAATGTTCGTGTTGACAGAATTAAAAACCTCGGCACTTATTACTTGTGTCATGTCAGACAGTTGAAGTGATGGTTCACCATCAACACTTTCCACACATGCAGGTGGAGTAGGAGCAAACCATTCTGTAGCATCTGATTCAAAAGTAATTTCAGTCAAATCAATAGCTTTGCCAATGCCTGTGCTTATTCTTCTCAAATCTTCAAGCAGGATATCATATGCAGCCATCAATGCTTTGATGAGCATAACCTGATTTGAGTTTTGAGAATCAGAAGAAGAATAAGTTATAATAGTAGTCAAAGAGATTTCTCAACAAAATTAAGCTTATCAAATAATATAAACCACAAATTTGCAACTTATAACACCTCAAAATCAGAAATAATGTTATCATGTGATGTGATCTATACACAACACCTCATACCTTGTTTGACCCAACATAATCTTCAACATAAGCACCTTCTGAACCTCTGGATTCACTGATATAATTCAACTAATCATATTCAAAAGCTAAAACAATACATTATGTACAATAAGAAAAAGAAACAATTAAATTATGGCTGCTAAAGTTATAAGGTTTAGATAGTGAATGGGAAAAGAGAATGGTTATACTAGTCAATAAAATATGAGATTAAATTTGACTTTTATAAAACAAAGCAGTCCGTCTCCAATGCCCATTGAGACTAATGATTAGGTATAACTTAAGTAGCACTAGCTCAAGCCCACTAACAATAGCACAGCACACCTAACCCTAACCCTAACCAAACAGGAAAACAACTTCTAAGACAACTCCTTGCTTCGGAGGACTAATTGATTATAATGATAATCCAACAGTGATGATGCAACGGTTAGTTTGAACTTCAAAAACTGGAGTTCTGACAAACCTGGATACCTTCTGTTGAGATGTGTGATAACTAGCTTTTAGTAGGCTGATGTGAATGCTTGTATCAACAAGGACAGCATGGAAAGCGTCAAAATGAACAGGACAATATGAATGCAATCCTCGAAGAGCTTTAGGGGGGATTTTATATTCATGAACTGAAGCAACATATGGATCCAGAGAACCTTGTAACTCAGGCCTGCACAAATGATGAATTAATCTCAGTTAAAAACCTGAAATTCACACGATCGTAATAATCAAATTTAATTAAAAGTCAAATGAATATTTGCACACTAGTTGAGTACACTAGTGCACAANTCATGTGATGTGATCTATACACAACACCTCATACCTTGTTTGACCCAACATAATCTTCAACATAAGCACCTTCTGAACCTCTGGATTCACTGATATAATTCAACTAATCATATTCAAAAGCTAAAACAATACATTATGTACAATAAGAAAAAGAAACAATTAAATTATGGCTGCTAAAGTTATAAGGTTTAGATAGTGAATGGGAAAAGAGAATGGTTATACTAGTCAATAAAATATGAGATTAAATTTGACTTTTATGTTGTATAAAACAAAGCAGTCCGTCTCCAATGCCCATTGAGACTAATGATTAGGTATAACTTAAGTAGCACTAGCTCAAGCCCACTAACAATAGCACAGCACACCTAACCCTAACCCTAACCAAACAGGAAAACAACTTCTAAGACAACTCCTTGCTTCGGAGGACTAATTGATTATAATGATAATCCAACAGTGATGATGCAACGGTTAGTTTGAACTTCAAAAACTGGAGTTCTGACAAACCTGGATACCTTCTGTTGAGATGTGTGATAACTAGCTTTTAGTAGGCTGATGTGAATGCTTGTATCAACAAGGACAGCATGGAAAGCGTCAAAATGAACAGGACAATATGAATGCAATCCTCGAAGAGCTTTAGGGGGGATTTTATATTCATGAACTGAAGCAACATATGGATCCAGAGAACCTTGTAACTCAGGCCTGCACAAATGATGAATTAATCTCAGTTAAAAACCTGAAATTCACACGATCGTAATAATCAAATTTAATTAAAAGTCAAATGAATATTTGCACACTAGTTGAGTACACTAGTGCACAAAAAAGGAAAGGGAACTATTAACTAACCCAGTTCGAGTTATAGGAGCATGCATGAGTTCAAACTTCAAGATGACAGAAGAGGATTGTACCTGTGTTTAGATAATAACCAAAACTTTACAAGACAGAAGAAAAATAAAATGGCGCACATCACTAAAGCAGCAAGTCACAACAGTTTTTTTTTTTTTTTAATTATGGATTCTTATAAAAAAAGGAACCTATTTCTTTGCACGTCAGATGTAGAAATGTATTCAAATAACCTTGAGCTCATGAAGACAATTGTATCCAACAGTTAATGAAATAATAAGACATTCTTAAAAATACAGGTTTTCCTTCCCCAACCAAACTCGCCAAGGAATGACATGACTTCCTTTTCTACAACACATGATGCAAAGGGACAACTTCCCCTCTTTTGCAATTATTTTATAAAGTTCATTGCCTCCGCAGTCAGCTCATTGAATGAAGAGAACAGGAGGAAGAAAAGGTGCCAATGGCATTTGCAGATACCATTGTAAATTGTGAATATTTAGTGTGAGATGACATGGACCAAGGGACAGCCATCAGCAACTTGAATCAGTATGTATGATTAGGTCCCTCTTTCAATAAGATTACACTAAATCTTATTGTCCTGCGTTTGACAAGATCTCCTATACTAGTTTGTTTCAACAAAAAAGAACCTCCATTTCGTACACAAATAAGTTTAAAGGGTTATATCAGTAAATCGTTAAAATAGTGAGAAAAACTGACCTCACACACACCAAAAGACAGGTAGAATGAGATCATGATGGAAAGATATACATCCTGTCTTGCATATTTAATATGGAATGGCGGTGTTGAAAAACTGTTGTCTGTATCATCAATCATCCAGACTCTACATAAATTGTCAGAACCCACTTCAGGAGCTGCAGCTCAAAGAAAAAGGATGGATTCTAGGATTATACACTATAGCTTGAACAATTACACAAATATAATGCAATACAACAAACTAAGAGGACAAAATAATTATTCAGCATATCAAGTTTGTGATTGTAAATGTTCAGGTACACTGGAAGTGTTCGGAGGTTCAAAAAAATACAACTTAAAGAAATTATTAGGAAAACATTACAATACAATAAGCGGAAACCTAAAGTTGAGTAAAACTATGCACAAAAGTACAAGTACTGGTCTGATCAAATTGCTTTGCAAACAGGCATGCATTTAGTTGCAGATAACTTATTTCTTAATATGGCTAACTGAAATTAGAAATGGAACTCGATCTACAAAAAGAAAAATTGTAGAATTCTGACAATGATTGACTTTAATTCCATAGTACCTGAACTCAAATAGAGATAGCAACCAACAATTTGATATAAGTTTGTCTTCTGAATTCCTAAAACTGGAAATGTATCCCTCACTGTGACAGAATTCATTAGATATCAATATCTGAGCAGACTCTGAATGACCCTGATTTTGATAAAAGTCACTACTCTTTGAATGGGACACCCAATAAATCCAAGAACAACTAATAGACATCTACTATCTTAAAATTTGGATTTAGACCTAATTCAATCTCAAAAACTAGCTCATGGACTATTGTTGTCTCCTACTTAAACACACTATTTTAATCATATTACTAGTCAATTAAGGATCTCCAAAAACTATCACATTAAAGACAAATCATTGATACCCAAACAAGAATATTGTTAAAGGGAAAAAAAGCTAAAATAAATACTACTTTTAGAGCCAAAATCATTCAAGTAGACTATTGTGCTTCTTGCAGCCATCTTGATGTGCTCACACCTCCCTAGTGATAATTTGTCATCTTTTTCTCAATTGGTGCTACAGCAACATCTTCCCATATGCAGTCATTTCATATCATGTTCTTTCTTATACGCCTATATCTTAGCATTTTCATTTCTACTACTACCACTTTTTTCCCATGTTCCCTTAAAGTCCAAAATACACTACCATAGAGTATAACCCAACGTATACTTGTACAATAAAGTTTTCCTTTTATCTTGGCATGTACTTTGTGATAAAAAAATAATCACTAATGTATTTTTTAACTTAAATGATCATGTATATATTTTGTGCGGTGCAGCATCCTCATTCATTTGTCTTCAATTTTGTATTACAGGTCAAAATATTAAGTTAAGAACTTTTTTATAAGGCATTTTCTCCCATGGTAACTTCCAAGTCATATTTCTCTTGTCTATTGTTAAACACACAAGGTATATACTTTGTCTTAATACTACTTAAGTGAAAAAACCTTTTTGTTTCCAATTTTTGTCTCCAAAGCTCAAGTTTAAATTTAATAGTTTGCTTTACTTCTTCAATCAAAACTATCATCAACAAAAGCATGCAAATTTAAATATAAATATAAATTTATGTTTAAATCCATCACTAAGAAAATCTCAAATTTAAATCGCAAATCAATAACATAGTTTTCAGCGTTACTTAGACATATTTAGACCTTTAATGTGTAAGATGAGCAATTTTTCATTTTATTAATAAATATATAAAAATATCGATTACAGCTTGAGAGGGTAGTTTTTCCAGTCCAAGCTTTATAATGAGTGCATTTCATATTAAAATTTTGTTCCTTAGTTTAGAAGCTTTTAATATAAGCCTTGCTTTCACATTTATATATGCCTTGTTATGGTAAAATATGCAAACAGCTTCATGAATAATAATAATAAATCAGGTTAAACAGTTTTGACTGCTAAGAAGCAGGAACAAACTTCACTTATAAATTCAAGTATTATTTCAAAAAGAAAACAAGAAAGTTGAATGTAGCTCTGGCACATGAAATAGACATATTTCATATACAATATTCAAGAGAAAACATACACATTCAAACCTCATACTCAAACTCTTTACTGCACAACTCTGGCAGAGAAGCAAGTAATCTATTAGTTTACACTCAGCCCAAATTTCTGTCCCTAAGCATTTGGGGAATGGCTAGTGTGAAGTATTTCAAAGCACTAAAATGAGAAGTGTGGCTTCTATGTAATCCCTTTAATTTTGGATGACTACGCAGGATTTAAAATATCAAATGACACAAGTCTACAAAAAATTTAATGTACATATTGATTTCTTGGTTGTTAAATATTTGAAATTAGCTGAATAAGCCATTTCAACTGATACATGACTCGAGAATAAGTTGCCTTGAAATACTGTTAGCAATCCAGCCAGAGCATTAGGGCCCAAGAGGTTACAAAGAAGTCCAACTACTATCAAGACTTTGTTTGATGAATTATAAAACTAGTTCATGTTCGCTGCCATGTAGGAAAATAAGCATAACAGCCTGACAAAATCAAGCATTTCCATTATATTCTTTCTTCTTGTCACTTGATTATGCAGGGAACCAATGAGTTGTCAATGTAGTGACAATATATTCCTCTAAATGATTCAATAGAATCTAGAGAAGAATGAATTTTATCATTTTGCAGTATTTAGCTACTTTAATCCTTTTTTCATAATGCCATATCAAGTTGTCCAACCAGCAATGACCGATCACAGTATCTATAAATTGGTTGCCAACTGCCTGGAGGACACCATACATCCCCTTACCCAACTCCAAACCACCCTCACTAACAACCAACAAGACCTCTCACACAACATTGATTGTATTCTTGGGCAGTTGTCTTCACTTACCACCTCACCCCATGCTTCGCCCCACTCCCCATCTCCATTATCACACCATCCCTCTATCAAAATAGAGCTTCCTAGATTCATTGGCCTTCACGTTGAGTTAGATCTTCAAAATCGAACAATTTTACAATTATTAGGGCATTCCCAACGAAGAACGGATTAGGATCACTTCCTTCTACATGGATGTCCCCCACTGAGTTGGTATCAATGAATGTTTCACAATGGTTTCCTCAAGTTGTGGCAAGGCATGTTGCAAGCTCTTGAGTCTTGTTTATCTTACTATGATGAACCTAAGAGAGCTATGTACAAGCTTACCTAGAGCGGCACCATCAATAAATACATCACCAAGTTTTAGAGCTTGCCCAATTGTATTGTCAACTTAGCTCCAATGTTCCTTTTGAGTTGCTTTAATTTTGGTCTCTCACCAGAAACTCACCACAAAATCTAGGAGGCTATTCAACATATGCTGATGACAAGTTATGGCCCTTGCCAAGTTGTAAGGGACCAAGTGAATGATCTTTGTCAGGCTCTCATGCCCCTTCCTACCACTCCAATGAAATCATCCTACTGCAGATCCTTAAGCATTAGTTTTACTCATTTGGGCCAACCCTTATCCTTTTATGCAAACGTACCCGTATCCCCTCAACCTGCTTTAGCTCTCTTCCAAATCACCTTACTCACACACCCACCACTGGTCCCTAACCCCTTTGCTAGGGAACACTAGCTCAACCTTAACCACATCTATCACCTTGAGGACAACGTGGCTTTTCTAGAGGAAGGAATTGTTAGCAATCCAGCACGATCATCACGCCCAAGAGGTTACAAAGAAGTCCACCTATTACTAAGACCTTTTAGCTTGATGAATTATAAAATTAGTTTATGTTGCTGCCATGTGGGAAAATAAGCATAACGGCCTGACAATTTTCCATTGCATTCTTTCTTTATAATACCTGATTGTGCGGGGAACTAAATGATTTGTTACTGTACGAAGCTGGAGAAGAATAATTTTACCATAATTTTGTTGTCATTTAGATGCTCTTACCTTTTCTTATTTACAGCAACATGTCAAATACCAACCGTAATTTCCATGTAAAGAACACGGTTTTGCTCGGATCTAACACACAACCTTGATGACAGCGCACCGGATCTCAATGAACCCGAAATTCATGTCTTCAACAAACTAGAACATCAAAACTTACTACAAACTAAACTACAGAAAATAGATGCACTTAACCACTAGTACACGAAGAGATTAGGAATACGTGTCACCTTCATACTGAACAACCCGCGCCGGAATCCCGGGATAGGAGTCTTCACCATCCTCCCATCTCATGGTCACCTTGATTTTGTACCATCTACAGAGCAGCAATAAAAATAAAATACCAATAAAAAGAAGCTGAAAAGTCTACAACAGTATCACAAGGAAAAATGGAGCAACAGAAAGTGGAGCTTAGTGCTTACCCTTGTTCAAAGAGGTCAAGATTATGAAACCTATGAATGTAAATTGCAACCTCGTGCACGGCATCGAGCACAGGCAACTGGTTTGGCCTTGCAGGGCCAGGATGTTGATGTTCAACATGGACCAACCTTTTGGTTGACCAATTCTTCTGATTCAGACCCACAAACCATCTGAGTCTCCGAAACATAAGTAGTCGTACTAGCAGCCGATACAGCAATACTTCAACCCCAAATGATTACTCATGCCTTAGTAAAAGTGGAGCAAAACCCACAAGTCCTGAAACTAAAAAGGAACCAACTTTCTCCCACCCACCTTCGTTTCAGTGCAGATCAAACCTATTAATGTTTTCTCGTGCTTGAAAGCATCACACTTTAAGTCATCTGTGAAGTGGGTCTCGGTTGAAGCGATTGATTGGTGGAATGAAGGAACAGTTAGGACCAAGATGAAAGAGAAATAATAAAAAGTGAATGAATCGAAAGCGTGTGGAAACAAGAGGAACAAAGACGCAACTCTGTTCATGATGAGGAGTAATAATTTATGAGTTATATACATGTTGGCACTTGGCATGGAAAGGAAAATCACTTTCGTCAACTCTTTTCGCAGGTACGCTATTAATGATCTCTTTCCTTTTTCTTTTTCTTAGAAGAGAAAAAAACTAAAACTAAAATTTCAAAATGGTAACATGGGATGTTGTGTCGGTGCAGACCTTATGCCTAAAACCATCTACTGAGATTGGTATATGTACACTGTACACTGTATGTATAGCACGTATGATGTTAGTTTCTTTTCTGTTTTGTTATACGAGGAGAAAAACAGAGATTTTTGAATGCTCCTTTCATACATTTTTCACTTTACCATCTTTAATCCATTTGATTTTGTTGGAAATGGAAAATATGAACGAATGAACTCATTCTAACAGTTATTACATTTTGTCAGAAGAATTATTTTTAGGACAAATTTGTATGAAGTTAATGACAGATTAACTTTTCTTATGTTGTTGTGGTTAGTAGAGTTAAGGTGGTGATCGCCATTGGGTATTGGAATTTAATTATTTTATGCTCTTTTGTAAAATGTAGTAATATGAAACATTATGTGTCACGAAATTAAATGTGTTGTTGAAGTTAATTTGTATTCTAAGAAGTGTTTGGGTGAGAATTTACAAGGTTATTCAAATAAGGATCAAGTAGAGAATATAAAGACCTATATTTTTTTTATAAAGGGTGTTGTTAATTAAAAATATGAGGTATTTAAGAATTTTTAAAATAACTAACGAATTGATCTATTTAAATTAATTCAAATAAATAAGTATTTATTAATATTATAATTAAAATCTATAGTTATTTATTTGTATTACTATTAAGCATGCTAAGTTGCATAAAAATTAAACCCACAGAAACATTGTTGAAATAAATTTATCCATTTGTTTAAAATTTTTATTGTAAAATATATTATGTAATAACATAATCATATATTACATAAAATTTTAAAATATATAATTACTAGTATTTTTATTTAGTCAGAGTGGACAATAAGTTTATCCAACTTTTAAGTTCTGAATAGAAATATTATTTTTAAATGATCTACAGATTTTTTTTTTATCATATTCTCTAAATATATTTCTCAAAAGAAAATAATAAAAGATAACTGTTACAAGAATATAGTATAATTGTATTATAAATATTCATACATAAATAAAAATATATCTCATAGTAAAACAGTAAAAAAAAATCTAAGCAAATATTATTTTTTGTATTTTTATTAAACATGGTAAGTGGTTTCTCTTTTAATGACAAAATTATATATAACTTTTATACGAAAATTGGATTTAGATTTTTCTTGAATTTTGTTTTATTGTTTATCTCTTGAGTATTTATAAAAATGTACTACTTTGATATTTTAAAATATATTAATAATTTTTGTAATATATGAATATAAGTTGTTTTAAAGACTGAGCAGAAAATAAACTTATAAAAACTATAATATTTTTTATTAAAATTAAAGTATGTTTATTTAAATATAATTGGAGAACCAAGTAGTTTTTAATTAAATTGATTTGAAAAAAAAATTGAATTTAAATGAATCCAAACTAATAAAAGTTAGTCACTTAAATTTTAATTTCTTCCCTTCAAACCACCCAATCAACATCCTAAACACATTTAATGTGAGTTTGAATATCAATTCCTCTACGGAATCTAACCCAACACTCTCAACTTTTACATTTATGTATTAAAAATGCAATATCTCTTTTGAAAATTTGGTTTCAACAGATTTGATTCATCTTGAAGTCAAAGAGAAAAGGACAATAATAATAAAGATCTTTGCTGGGAAATAATTACTCTTTTAATAAATTCTTATCACCACCTCCTTCAATTATTTTAAATGTTTTAGTATTTGGTTTGACTTTGATACCCTTATTACTATAACCAACTAAATTATCCAATTATGTAATTTCAAAAACCCGAAGTTGCATTATTGGAATTTCATATCATACCTGAGAGTGTTATAAAAAATAGAGTTTTTGAATAACTATATAATGTAATACTATATTTTTATTCTCAACATGGATTTGGAATCAATTGTAAAATAATTATTTTTGTATGTAAAAAGTATGGATCGAATGATTAACACTCAGCATTGTTTGATCTATTCACTACATCAATGATTTTGAGTTATAATTGGGTCAGCATTTAAGTATTGGGTCAATAGTCCAATAGATGATAAAATAATAAAAAATATTTGATTAGAGATATTGATAAATTGTTTATGAGTAACCAATCGAATCTAAAGGTAAGTTTGTTTTTATTTTATTGGATATATGCTAGTTACTCATCCATGAGACACTTATAAATATAAGGTCAAGGTCAAAAGCTAGGTACATTCTACTTACATTCGATCAGAACTAAATACTCAATTGTGATAAATAGTTCACTAAACTGCTCCTAACTTGAGCGTCAGAGTGTCTTTTGCAGGTACCTCCCCCTGGTCAAGAATACAACTGAGCGGAGCAGGCGACAACCGAGCCTAGCAGGTGACAACCGAGTGGAGCAGGCGACACAAGCATTGGAAAGTAGAAAAGTCACGTCAGGAAAGGTACGTTTCTCGGTCCTACAAATCCCTACCGAAACATTTTGGCGCCCACCGTGAGGCCGAGAGAAGCAGAAGAAATCCAATGATGACCACGAGAAACATGGAGGAGCAACGAAGCATTAGGGAGCTGATAAGAAAGATGCAAATGCGGGCACAAGTGCAAGCATAGTTGTTGGATATGCAACAGAAGCACAAAGAGGAAATTACGGCACTGAGGGCGGAACGTGCTCATGCCGAACAATCCCATCACACCAACCCGAATGGTTGAGAAAGAAGGAAACCAATACCCTAGCAAACCAATCGACCTACCAACCAGACAGTTTCCATTCGACCATTTGACTTCATAGGTATTCGGTCATTCGGCCACTCGGCCTCGCAAGTATTCGGCCCTTCGGCCTCAACTGCTTAGCCTTCCATGGCCTCAGGTACTAAGCAAATTTGGCATCCATTGTTCAATCCATTCGACCGCTATACATCACAGGCTTTATGCGCTTCTCTAGTGCCTCCTTGTTATTTTCAAACGTACCAATTACGAGCAAGCAATCAGGTCAATCGCTTTTATCCATGGGACCAGAGAAAGTTTGTGTAGAAAATTATTACTTACAGAGTATAGCCGAGCAGTGATAAAAGTTCTCAACGAACTATCACTCTAGTAAACAAACTCCTGGTCTAAAACTGAGCTAGTAAGTCTCGTTAACAAAATCGAGGGACGTTATCCGAAAAACTCCTGGTCCAAACTGAGCGGTGATAAAAGTTCTCAACGAACTGTCACTCTCTAAACAAAACCCAGGGACGTTATCCGAAAAACTCTTGGTCCAAACCGAGCGGTGATAAAAGTTCTCAACGAACTGTCGCTCTCGTAAACAAAACCTAGGGAGCGCTCTCCGAGAACCCTGGTCCTAAACCGAGCGGTGAGGAACGTTCTCCTTGAACTCTCACTCTCGTCCACATGCTTTGCTTGATCGGCTGTCCGGTTTTACAGTGCCCCGCTCAATAGGGTAAAAAGTTCTAAAAAGAACTCCCACTAGTCGTCATTCGACCTCGAATATGCCGTCCGGACCAGAACAACCTCCCTAATACAATGGGAAAGATCTCTTTCAGGCTCATATAAGCCCTATAGTTAACTTGGCTAAAGCCGAACGGTTAACTCGAACTTTGGGAGCATATGTATGGTATACAGTATGGACTGAACGGTTAACACTCAGCACCGTTCGGTCCATCCGCTACATCAATGATTTTGGGTCATAATTGGGCTAGCGTTTAAGTATTGGGCTAGCGTTTAAGTATTGGGCCAATAGTCCAACAAATGATAAATTAATCAAAGATATCTTATTAGAGATATTGATAAGCTGTTTATGAGTAACAAACCAAATCTAAAGGTAAGTTTGATTTTATTTTATTGGATGTGTGTTAGTTAGGATCCATGAGACACTTATAATATAAGGTCAAGGTCAAAATCTAGGTACGTTCTACTTACGTTTAATCAGAACTAAAATACTCAATTATGATAAGCAATTCACTAAACTGCTCCTAACTTGAGCGTCAGAGTGTCTTTTACAGATACCTCCCTCTGGTTAAGAATACAACCAAGCGAAGTAGAAGACAACCGAACAAAATAGACGACATAAGCATTGGAAAACAGGAAAATCATGTCAATAAATGTACGATTCTCGATCCTACAAATCTCTACCGAAACAATATCTATAACTTGAATTATGGTTGAAAGAAATCCAAAAGCTATATTTCTATTTTTGTACAATAAATGGTAAGGTATGATTTAGTTTTAAAGATAAATGTTTTTTGTCTAAATGATATTTTTCAGTCTTATAATTTAAATATTCCTTTTTCTTATCACTATTATATTTTCTTCATACTTAATGCATCTTGGTACTTACATACCTTATTTTTGCGTTAATTTTTACTGTTCTACTTTTAGTATGATTAGTAATGAGAACTATATTATAAAATAAATATGAAAACACATGAAATAGATTCAGTAATATATCTACCTGCATGGGAAATGGTTGCGATTTTATTATTAATTAAAAAACCTATAAACACTATCTAAAAATTACAATATCTGTTTCGCTTAAAATATATACAGGCAAGTAATTTATTACCAATATATTATTATTATTAATTTAAAAATTACAATATCTGTTTCGCTTAAAATATACAGGCAAGTAATTTATTACCATTATATTATTGCTTATTATTGTTAATTTTCATATTATTTTCAATTGTTTTTTCCTGCTCCATTTTCTCCATTATTGCTAAAATTAACAAATTTTTTTCCAGTTCAAAGTACCTTTATTCACATGTATATTTTTTGTTTTAATCATTCATATATTTCAATTTACCATTCTTATATATACATATATCTTTAAATTAATTATTTTTCAAATTATATATCACACTTAAATTGTACAATATAAATTCAAGATATAATTTATATATTTATTTATTTTGAATTTAATTATTTTATAACTTCAAATATATTCAATTATATAAAAATAAGCATTTTGTATTTTGG